AGAGAGAGGGAGAGAGAGAGAGAGAAAGCCTGAAGCAGGAGGACCACTGCAAAGTTATAGGCCAACTGTGTGAAACAGTGAGTTCAAGGCCAGCCTGAACTACACAGAGAGATCCTGTCTCAAACAAAACAAAACAAAACAAAAGTTGACTTTACCCACAGAACCACAGGACAGTGACTTCTACTTAGGAAGGCTTCATCTATCCAAACTTCCTCTTTGGTCTAGACCCTGTTGTCACTTTACAGATTAGTCATGTGCTTCAAAAATCCTGTCACAGCAACATGTCCTGAGCACCCTAATCTGAGCAGAGCAGGGAGCAGAGTGACTCCCCGATTCCTTCACAACAAGCACTGAAGGGCAAAGCTGTGAACACCACCATAAGGTGTGAGGTGGCCTCGGCAGATAGATGGGTTCCAGCTCACTCTCCATCCACCAATCCGCCTGAGCAACGCTCCGCTGCCGCCCTCCCCAACCAGCATTTGCTGTGGGCCACCTCCCTCACCAGCTCTCAAAGCTGTCCAGTTCGCATCTGCGGCTTCCCTCCCTTCCTTCTCCTAAGAGGATGTTGCAGGAACACAGGCAAACTCCCCTATTTTCTCAGTTGTTTTGACCACTTTAACAGAAACCCAACTGTCAATATCTGGCCCTGACTGCTCCACAGAGGCCCTGTCCTTTAGAGGACTCACTTTCTCCCACCCCAGCCAATTCTCCAGGGCCAAGAGCCCTGTTTCTTTTTTGTTTACTTGAAGCCACACCATCCCCTGTATCAGTGATGGCGAACCTTTTAGAACTTTCAGTGACATGTGTGCCACAGGTTCGCTACCACTGTCCTCTATCATCTTCACAGTCACTGACCATTCCCTGCTGCCCACTCCCTTCTACGTGGCAAATCCACCTTAACCCTCCAGACAGTTTGCTTTGCGTTTATTATTTCCACATCAACATCCATGTACATCGCTTCTCGGCCTTTTGGCTAAGATCAAATGCAGCATCAATGTACGGGTGGACAATGCATCTAAGATTGACTGGATCCATTGTACTCCATCTGCAATTCATATCCAGGCACCATACCAGTACACTCTGAGCCTCATTCCCTCTCCAAGCATACCCCTCTACATTGTAGTCACCTTTATCGATCTATCATCCCCAGTCATTTTTGTGTCTTTCTTTTTTTAAGTTTTTGTTTTGGGGTCTTACTGTGTAAAGCTTTAGCTGTTAGAGACTGTGGGAGATACAAATAAAGTAAAGCGTGGTCTTTTCCTTCAACAAGTTAGTGATCTCAATTGGCTAGTACATGATTAGAAGACTGGCTAAAGAAACAAAAAATGAAATGAGAACAGAGTTACCTAAAAGAATACAGTTCAATGTGTAAAAACCCCCAAACTCTAGGAAGTATCAGGTGTGTGCAGATGTGCAGCCATGATGGAAACATAACTATTAGTTCCGATTGCTACACTTTCACCAAAGCAGACCATACTGCTTTACTACACTAATTACCCCATCACTATGTCTGATTCCAGTTTTACAAAATTCTCACACCAAAGATACAAGTCTTGTTTCTTATTTTTCTTCTTAAAATTTTCCTTATAAAATTTGTACAAATAGGCCGTTAATTCACAGGTGAAAAAGAAAAAAGTTAACAAATTTTCTTTTAAATTAGTAGATTCTGAATAGGTGGAATTCACTTGATTTCTTTTTGGTCCACTGCCTTGTTCGTTTGGGCCTGAGGATGTAAATTTCATGACTGAAAGCTCACTACTAGATTCTTCTGTTCACTGACCAAGCCTTTCCAGGAAGATAACACCCTAGAGCAGTGGGGAACCCATGGCATTGCCTTGGAGGCTGTTTGTTACCATAGAAGGCTCTAAAAGTCTCGGCATAAACCAGCGTGGTGGCGCACACCTGTAATCCCAGCACTTGGGAGGCTGAGGCAGGAGGATCACTGCCAGGTCAAGGCCACCCTATGTTACACAGTGAGATCAAGGTCAGCCTGAATTACACTGTGAGATGCTGTCTCAAAAAACTAAAAATTTTTTTAAAAATTTTTTAAATTATAAAATAAATGGTTCACCATCACTGTCCTAGGGAAACTTGATGGTCTCACATCAATCACACTGTTCCAAAGCTAAATAACTGCCTTTCAATTCAGGAGGAAAAGGATCAAAGTATGTTTGCGGAATAGAATTATTAAAAGCAACTTGATTACATGACTTTCCAAAAGCCAGCTAGCCTGCTCATAGCTGAGTTACACGTTTCCCAGAAAAGAGTGTCATAGAACTGTTTAGCCTCTAGATTAGAGGATCCTTTTTCAAGGTCCTGTGTTGGCAGGCCTACCAACTGAATGAAATCTCTCTTCCTGACTTAAACATCAGCATAAAAGGCTACTGACACAGAGTTTAACAATATTTTTAGCAAGCAATTCTAGTGGGGAAACCAAGCAGAAACCTTAACTATTACACAGAACTTCAGCATGCTCCAAACAGCTCAGACTTTCAAACTATTTGCTAAGTTTTAAATTTGGTTTCCTACACATAAATCCCTACTTCAATTCTAGGTCTAACCTAGATCATTCTGCCTATCCGCAAAGATAAAATTCTCAGAGAACACCCTTATGTTGACAGGGAAACAGTCAAAGAAAGAGGAAAATTCATTTGGAAGTTTCTTATAATTTCAGATCTAACAAAGGCATTTATCTAGTATCTTATTTACTTGGTGTTTTTATTAATTATTAGATTTCTGAATTACAAAGCTGTGAGTGGAAGGACTTAGTACTTGTTTCCAACCTTATTAAGACTACCACTACAGGTCTCTGGGCACCAAGCTACCTACGCCTACTCTCATTTTCTTTGTTTCAGTTTCACTGGCAGAGATGTCCCTCCTCATAACCCAAGCCTGTCCTTCCACCACTTCCCTCCTGGGATTATAACCCAGCAAGCACCCCCTGCCTGCAGATCTTCAGCTTCTCCTTCTCCGCCAGCTCTCTTCCTTGGGCTTCCAGAACAAGTATGACAACTCTTGACCCTCCTTCCTCACCTCTTACTCACCTATTTGGCCACGGCTTCCAGCCCCACAGATTCACTGTCCCTGCTCTCCCCACAGTTACCGGATTAGTGGGGCAGTTTTGCATCTTATCTCATTTAAGCTCTCTGTCAGAAGACAATGTTGATCATTCCTTCACCTATTAAACTCTCACTCTTTTTTGTGATACTGGCGATTGAACCAAGGGCTTTTGCACTAAGCCACAAGGTCTTGCTAAATTGTTCAGACTAGGGCTGAACTTGTGATCCTCCTGTTCCACCTTCCCAGAGTGCTGGGATTACACGCAACCACACCCAGCCACATTGTCCCTCTTGAATCTAGCTTTCCCCTTTCTTTGGTTTTTATTTTTTGCTCACTCTTTAAATGTTTATCCATCTTGGGTCCTCTTTACTTTTCATTCTATATTATAGTTGCTTAAAATATCCACGGATCTAAGACTCCATTGATGGGTTGGGGGGGTCATAAAATACAAAAAATTATATTCAAAGCTTTTGATGTTACGGGGGAGGGGATCACTGCTTTAAAAAAAAAAAAAAAGATTAGGGATGCCTATTTTCTACCTTCTCCCAGAATGATTTAATCTATCCCTATGGTTCCAACTATAACTTATACACAGGTAATGCCCAAACCCATACATTCAGCCCAGGCCTTTATCCCAAACACCACTCTCATACATCAGATTGTGTCCTGAAAATTTCATGCTTATCTCAAATTCATTTGTTTAAAACAGAAATCTTGTTTCTAACAGATTTCCCTGCTATAATCCATCCTTCTCAATGCTGCCAGTAATATTTCTGTCAAGACTGATTTTGTTACTATCCTCCTTAAAATCCTCCATTGAATCTTTATTCTCCTAGTATTAGTAGTAAAGATCTATTGCACACATACTTATGTGCTAATAGGCACCTTAAATATATTCTTTCTAGTGCTCAGCAACCGTTTAAGTATTACTTTAACAGAAAGATAAAGTCCAGGCACATCAAACATCTACCTGGAGAGCTTTGTAAAAAGTACAACTCAAGCAAAGAGAGAGCACTGTCTGTATCTCTGGAGAAAGTTCAGCTGCAGCATCTCTGGTTTCCGTCTCAGAATGGAGCTGAGGCCTGTGCCAGCAGCTAGGCCAGGCTCACAATATGGAGCTACTCTCTGCAGCCATCAGATGCCCCAAACAATGAAATAGAGCATATGCAAAGGACTCTTTACTTTAGCAATCCAAGTGTTTATTTGTGTGCCAGGTTTTGTACAGGAATAAATGATGACTAGCACTGTTCAACATTATAAACATTGCATATATTACTGCAACTATCAGCCAGTATTTATGAACTTATTATATAGGAGGCATTGGATTTTGACTCCATGATTTAGGGTGTGTGTTTGTTTGTTTGTGAGACAGGGTCTCCCTATGTAGATTCTTTTGGGGGGGGCGGTCTTTTTGAGACAGGGTCTCCCTATGTAGTTTAGGTTGGCCATAAGCTCACTTTGTAGCCCAGGCTGGTCTCGAACTTGCAATGATTCTCCTGCCTCAACCTCCCGAGTGCCGGGATTGCAGGCATGCA